AGGGCCAGTGCAGGTAAACGTAATACTTTCTTTGATAATTGATACTAGTCGCACAATTTTTAAGGCAGGTATCGCCAATGTGCAGGTATGTTGAATGCATCTATCGGAGCAGTTTCCTTATAAATGTTAAAAATAATGTCTCAGATGCGCATTTTGGGGTAGGTATCTTATATGTGCACTTAAGCATAAAGGCCGCAAAGCAAAATATACTGTATTTCCTAATCCTAGTTTCTTGTCAGGACTTGACGTATTGTGGCCATCTTTTCAGTGGTAGATTTTACAGATCTATAGCCATACTGGAAAGGTTCAATAAGGTGATTAATAAAGTGCTTTGGTCTTAAAGGTTGTCAGCCAGGCTTTAAAAACCCAGCCTTTATTTCAGCGACTTCAGTTCCCCTGGTAATTTATGGACTTTTACGCATTTGGCACGGCTATTACTGGAGACAATGAAACAATGAGTTGTACGAGCTGCACAATATAGCTCCAAGATTTAGTAGCTATGCTGACAAAGGCTTGCTCTGCCTTTACAGGCGAAGAAAAAAATTGGATATATTTGGGGCTTCTATTTGGCGCTAGCTAGTAAGAAAAAGAAACAAGTGAGGTGGGCAATGCTGTGCTTCATTTCGGGCTATATCTCATGAGAACGCGCCACGAACACTTGCTGTAGATAACTGGGTTTTCTACCCAGTTGTCATCATTTCAATAAATCAATGGCTGAACTACGAAGGTGATGGATGAAAAAAATATATTAGGGCTGTTCAGGATATTGTGGAAATCGTCTTGGATTTTCGGTTGGAATTGAATTTGCAAATTTTATGCTTGCTATCATGGCAACCGTGTTCATTTTATTGTTGTGAATTAGCAAATGTACCGAAATTTGCAAATGGAATATCATATGCATAAGATCCTGCACAGCCCAGTTGGCTTGGTTTCTCTGAGCTAAGCACTACAACAACTACTTCGAAAATACACTGAGCGACAAAAACAAAAAAAAATTTCAAAACACACGAAAGAATCGATATCCTCGCGAAAATAGTAATGTATTAGTAATATAGTAAAACTGCGTTTTTAATTTTTCACTCTGAAGTCAGGATTTTTTTTCAAAGCACTTTGAAATGTTAAAGATATGATTAATTCAAAAAATTATTTAAAAAAATCAGTGCAATGTAGAATAACAATATGGGTATCAAACAATACATATATACATATATATTTATGTATATGTAACAATAAAGTTTTTTGGTTTACAAGGATGAATAGGTATTGAAATGACATTTCAATAAGTTTTATCTTTTTAAGTTAATAAAGTTTGCAGGACGAAATTCGATGATTAGGTCGTGCATATATTAGTCCCCAATTAATCATTTAAAAAAAAAAGTATTGTAATTTTTTAAGGATATTTAATGAAAAAAATTTTTTCACGAAAATTTTCCATACCCATTCGTCCTTATGCACCCAAAAATTTATTCTGTTATAATTCTAAAGAATTTTTTCCTCTATATGATACCCTTATTGTTATCCTACATTAATAATAGGTTGGCGCTTACACTTATGTTAGTGTTTGTCCGAGCTTCTCCTCCGATTTGTGGCGTGTGCCTTGATGTTGTCACACAGAGAGGAGGGACCTACAGTTTTGCGCCGACTCCGAACGGCGATTGTATTTTTATGAGAAGCTGTTTTTCATTGCAGAAATACACTCGGAGGTTTGCCATTGCCTGCCGAGGGGCGACCGCCGTTAAGAAAAACCGTTTTTTCTACAATTTTTTTCTCCCAGGCCCTGCGGAGTAGAAGCGCGCATTGCTTACCACTACACCACAGCGGCCTACATTGCGCCGAATATTTTAAATAATTTTTTGAAATAATCATATTTTGTAAATTTCAAAGACCTTTAAAAAAAATCCTGACGTCAGAGAGAAAACTAAGTACGCGGTTTTACTTTAATGTACCCATAGTTCCATTTACTGTCGCATGGTGTTATCTGAAAAACCCTTATGTAAGATATGGGTTTGCACATAACAGTCACGAAATTCAAAACTATTCCACATGACACCAATTATTTCGTCCTGAATGTAAAATTGCAACGTTTACATATTTATTAAAAAATACTTTGCGGTTCAAAATTCGAAATGAGAGACATATAAACCTACCTACTTGCATATCAATTGCGCATTTACTCTACATGAAATTGGTAATATACATACATATGTATGTATATATGTATATACTAGATATATTCACATTCATTTGTACATGCATATTTATGTGCATATGTGCTTCGGCAACAATTACACTGTCACCACTTGCAACACGACCATGCTGGCTAATCTATCCAGGCTATTTGCATATTTACATATGTGGCGGAAACCTGTGCGGTCCGATGCACCACAACAACTCCTGCCTCTCGTTTTTCCGCTTTCAACTTTTTTCCCATTTTTCTTTAGTGCGGCTCCGCTATGACTTTAGCTTTATGCCACTCACGTTGTTGCAACAAGCCATCAGCAGACATTCGGCTCATGCAATTTTTGTATTTGTTCTTTCAGTTTACTATTGCATTTGTGCTGTGTCTCTGCTCGTTGGCTTGCCCATTTACTTGTCCGTCCGCTATTGTTTTCATTCTTATGAAAAATCGTGTCTGTTAGTTGCTTTTCGATTTTTATTATGAAGCCTTTTCATTTTACGACCACCTCTCACACAGACTGGACTGCAAATAAAGCCAACGGCCAGTAGTCACTAGCCGCCAGTCGCCAGTCGCCAACCACAAGGCGGCAAGCGCAAATGCATCATCGAGTGATAGCAGCGCCAGCGGCTGAGACAGGGACAGAGAAAGACGCCGAGGCATAAGCAGCAACATTTGCATCTTGAGCAGCGGATTCGCCTGCTATACACAGGATAATGCTGAGCACGTTCTTAATGAAAGTGGTATAGGCAGCAGTAAAGTGGCGGCACCAACCAGCGCTCGTGAGTGCACTGCCAACGTCAATGTGGCAGTGGCAGTGGCAATGACAATGGCAATGGCAATGGGCATGTATTTGTTGCCAACGATGGCAATGGCTTTGACTTAGACTTTTCCACGCTTTCATTGCAGCTACAAAATGCTGGGAGGCAGCAAAGTCCACCAAACACTGCTTATTCTGCCACATCGCGCCAATCTGGCCATTGGCAACTTCCAGTTTCTATTTCGCTGTCAA